CCCCCCCCCCCCCCCCCCGCCATGTGCTAATTCCTTCCAGTTTGAGTTGGAGTCTCCCATACAATAGCACCCAGTGCCATGGCACCACTGATACCACCCTTGCCATAGTGCTGTGTAGTCGTCCCCTTCCCAACTTATACATACACACTCCTTTTTCCTACACATTGAAATACGAATAGTTTGGCTTTTTTATATTAAGAAGCCATAGTGACCCTGGTTCAAGGAAAAATTCTACAGCCAGACTTAACTTTCCTAAATTATGCATCAGGGTGATGATACTGATTTTGTTAACTTAAACAGAACCTGGCTTTCAATTACTTAAGCTTTTTATTATTAGTATTATTAATAACTAATGGTTTTTGTGAAATGCCCTTGCTATTACGTGCATTATGACGTGTATCCAGTTTAGGTCATTCAGAATCAAGATTGTGTGTACTTTGTGTAAATGCTATGGAGACTTGTGGTAGAGCCCAACTTCACCAATCTGCTGCTCTGATAGGACTAACCTGGGCAAGAAAATGAGAGAAGGTTCAATGTAAGGGTGCCATGAGAGCACCTTATGTAGGCTGACATGCATTTTCCCCCCTTTTTTAAATTCAAATGATTAACCATTTTTTGGTTAATTGCAATGATTCTCTAAACGATTTGAAAAGTAATAAGGTTTTACTAGGACTTTTTTTCTTCTTCACTCCATGTTTTCCATTCTACCTGTGAAATTCATCATACCTCATTTTTAAAAATTCTTTCAATGTGCATTGAATCAAAAGTAAATGTCAATATTATGCTCTAAATTTCTCCAGTATAAAATACTTTAAAATTTCAAAGTTGAGATTATTAACAGGGCCCTAGTAATTTTAAGAATCTAATGTCTGCAGGACTTTAAAAAGTGAATAAGCTTTTTTTCATGTATGTTTTTACAAAAGTTTGATTTTATTTTTTGTTTGTTTGTTGTAATTGTCTTAGTTTATTTAAGAATATTAACTTTCTTTTTATTGGTTTCAGCTTTAGGGAAAACTTTTTAAAAATGTAAACTTTTCTCTCTTGTATATATTTTCTTGGTTTTTGTTTGTGTTGAACTGAAATTGCCATTATAACAGATGTTTACCTTTTGTTTTCCTACAGTTTTATGTGCTGAAAGAGTGGGCCAGATGACTAAAACATACAATGACATAGATGCTGTTACACGTCTTCTTGAAGAGGCAAGTGTTTCTTTACCCGGCAATTCCCATTCTGAGAGAGAAATACTAAGGAATCATCCCGTAACATGTAAACAAAGAATACTTAGGTTTCTCCAACTTGCTAGTCAGGGTGAAGGAAATAGTTTAATTGTACGTATACATGTCATTCGTAAGGGAAATATTTTTGTTAATGAAAGGTGCTCCATTTATTTGTATTAGCTGTACAGATGCATTGCTTATGTGTTTGCACAAGGCTAAAGCAAATCTACTTGACTCTTACCAAATGCAATTAGTGACAGGCAAAATGTGATTACACTGAAAGTTGGGTAGGCAAGAATGAAGTTTATATGCAGGCATATTATATTTTAAAAAATGGATAGTAAGTATTATAGATAGTTTTTATTTAAAATCAGGAGTATGCTAAGCTCCCAAGTCATTTTTAGTTTACTTATTTGTGTCTGAGTGGTTATAACCTTCAAAAAAGCATGTAGCCATTGAGTCAATGTATTCTTCCCATCCTGTCTCCCTAGGCTTTTCTTCTTTACATTCTGGTGCCTTTATTTTTAAAAATATTCTAGCACATCAGCTTTAAATAGTTATGATGGGTTACAGTTTTCAAGAAATGTGAGAGAGAAAAATGAACTACAGGATAGTATTTAAACATACTAAATGGCCTAATAAAATTGACCAAAGAGAGCTGATTTTAAAGAAAAGTAAGTAATATATTTTCTCAGATCACATCTGCAAGGCATTGTTGAGATAAAGAATAACAATGTATTCATATTTATAATCCCTGGAGATTTATAAATAATGTTGCATATTATGAAGCTTTGAGTATAAGGACACAGCTACCATTTTATGCAGTGCTAGCCTGAGTATGTGAATTGGTAGAAAGGGTGAAGCGTGGGCCTTAATGTATCTGGTTGAAGGACAGAGGCCTTTGTGCTTACTTGCATTTTTTTTAAAGCAGTTTTCCCCATGTATGTCCATATTAAGACTCTGATACAGGCCTTGAATGACTATCTGTTGATTACTGTTCTAATCTCTCCTATACTGTGACTTCATGCTTCTTTCTGCTGATTTATTTTGCTTGCATTTGTTGGCCTGACTTTGCCAGCAGCGATTCTGTATCTGGAAACCTACAACTATATTCTTGCTTCCTTTTATATAAGAATTTCTGATAGTCTCTCATAGCTTCAAAGGCAGGAGTAATTTGTTTTCTTTATTTAGGAACTGGGCCAATCCAGAATTATTTCTAGCCAGGCTGGCTATTGAAAAGTGGAGATGTTTTGCCCACCACTTTTTTATTAGGGGCAGGTTTGAGTAATCTGCATTTGCCCACACCTGTCTCTTCCTAGAGTCCACACAGTTTGAGTTTGCGTTGATATCACAAGCAAGGTTCTGGGAACAGTGTCAGGGAATGCACTGAGCCAGCTTTTTAAAGCAGTGTGCTTTCCCCTTCAAGAAGAAATGTTCTGTGGGTCATATCTAGAGAACCAATACACCAATATTTCTCAGTAAGGGAAATATTTATCAATATGATGTTCATCAGGCCAGAATTCTGTATCCAGTCTTTCTTGTGTGTATGGATGCGATTATGCAGTCCCTCTCCTGTGATGGAGAAAGTATCCATCTGAATAGGTCTTAGGATCCTATGCTGCTGTTCCCACGTACAGCAGTTGAGGGTGGCTCCTTTCCTGCCATTATGCACATTAATGATATTTAGCGGGGGGAAGAGAAGGATTTTAAAGAAATGCTGAGTCTCTCCTCTCAAAAGGGACTACTCCAGCCTTATAGTCTGAATAAGCAATGTTGCCTGGGGAGAAGATGAAGGGAGGATATGGGAGACGAGTCTCCATGCCTAAGCAAGGGTGTTGGTATGCCTTGAGAGCTTTGTGCATTTACTTAAATGTAAGCTTTCTAGCCTCCTCAGCTGTTTCATAAATACGTTTGGAGCTGGGGTGCTTCTATGGTTCCTGTTGTCACGGTATCTGAGTACTTACAATTTTAATACATATCCCAATGATGTAGGAGACAGGCTATTATCTTCATAGCCCCCAGTTTATTGCACAGACCTTATGAGTTATATGCAGTTGCTTGTGCAATCTGTAGCAGAACAAGGAATTAAACATAGGCTTCCTCACCGGGTGCTAGAATCCTCACCACTGGCTCATCCTTTCTCTGAGTAATACTGTACAGTATGAAGATATGTTTCCCATTTTTGGACTTGTGCAGTGGGCCAGCTTGTATTTTTAGAGATGTTGGCTTGCTGCATATCACAAGTTCATTTGTAAGGCCTTTTGGCATTTGCGTAGTCTGGAAGTCCACGTGTCATTTTTGGCTAGAAAGAGCTGTGGGTTTCTGGTTCAACAATAGGCCTGGCCTCATATGTTGAGAACCGTTTGAAAACAATGGCAATGATCAGCAGCGTAACTCTTATTTATGCCTTATAGGCAAACTGTGTTGGTAAACACAGTTTCTGCTTTTCTGCTGTTATTCTGAGCGGAGGCATTTGAAACTAAATTAATTCAAACCCCTGTTGCTGGTGACTGATCACTGGCTTCTTTGCAGAAACTTTGTGTGAGTTACAAGCAATAAATATTAGTCATCAGTGAGTCCAACAATTGCGGGCCAAAGGAAACAAGTTACAAGGTGTATATTTTTCAGTATATAACCTGAAAAGAACCAAATTAGCTTTCATAAGAAAGAACTAAGCAAAAAAGAGAGGAAAATGGCATCGCTGCCACACACAGGTTTTTACATATCTAACAGAAAAACCAGTCTCTTATTTATAAAAGCACTCGTACAGTACGGCAAAGTTATATGATACTCTGTAAAACACCTTTTTTTCCCCAAGAGCTTAATCAAAAGCCTGATCCTCCAGAAAAGTGCACATCCTCCCACGCCAAAGTTTCATGATCTGGTATGGCAGGATATGCAGTTGTTGTCATTTGGGATGAAATTCCTCATCTCATTACGCAGCTGTTGGGGTGTGCATCTATCTGCGTATGTAGTTCGGAGAGCAGGAGCTGGGGGTAGGAGAGTTCTGCACCACATGTTGAAATTAAAGTTCTGTGCAAACCAGCCACAAAGCTGTTTCATATTTAATGTGGTTTTGTCATTTTATTGTGTGATAATTCGGTTGAATATGTGGCACATTACACTTTACTGAGCAAGTAGCCCATTTATTGTGTGATAAATGTAGGACTACTGGCCCTAGTGAGACTTACTTATAGGTTGTCTGATTGCTTGTGGGTAAGAAAGAGAGAGAAAAGTATAAAAAGCTTTTTCCTGTAGTTTTGAGTCCTATAGAAAGAAGAGATCTTTAAGTTACTAAAACTGAAGAAATTAAGCACACCAGTCATGTGGGGTGACAGCCTCTGTTCCTGACCTTAGAAAAAAATTCTTCAAGGTCAGGGTTGCCAGGATCTGGAATGGGCTTCCAAGGGAGGTGGTGCTCACCCCATCCTTGGGGGTCTTCAAGAGAAGACTGGATGGGCACCTGGCTGGGATCACATGATCCCAGGTTTGGTGACCCTTTTCTTGCCTGCCAGGGCAGGGGGGTTGGACTAGATGGCCCACTGAGGTCCCTTCCGACCCTAGAATCTATGAATCTACGATAGAATATTGCTTAATTGCCCATTTCCATTCAGCTCTCTTAGATGTCCTTTTCCCTACCTTCCAGCACTATTGTTGGATCAACTCCTTTTTGCAATAGGCCACCTTCTCCCCTACCATAGATGGTGATAATAAAGCCTTGCAACTTTAACACAGTTGCTTCTTTTTTTCTGAAGCTATTGAAAGGAAAGATTTACTTGGTGGCTGTGAATGAAAGTGATTCTACAGTTACTGAAATCTGGTTTATTTGAAGTGGAGCAATGGAGAAACTGAGAAATACAGTAGCTGAGAGATCCAAATGTGTTCTAACTGTTTTGTGCTATGTTTCAAGAGCCCTTAAAATACAATCCCAAGTGCTCCCTACAAGCCCTGTGCAAAAGTTCAAGAAGAAAATTTAACATGAACATTTTCACATTAAACCTCTAAGGCTGTGCTTTCATTTGTATAGTTCATTAACTAACTGTACATGTCGGTGTTTCTGAATTATGTGGGTATTGCCTAAGCAGAAAAAGGACAAGAAAATGAACAGAAATTATTGGTTTCTTTTTTTTTGCAGAGCATTCGTTCTTTTCTTTGTAGCGCAAATTTACTTTCCATCCTCCTTGGAAGAGCCAGTTGTTTTCTAAGTGAACACAACATTTTAAATCAACCTTATTTTCTTTCCATTTCACAGAAAGAGCGAGACTTGGAATTAGCTGCTCGGATTGGCCAGTCACTGTTAAAGAAGAATAAAACGCTAACCGAGAGAAATGAATTGCTTGAGGAGCAGGTAGAACATATCAGAGAAGAGGTAAGGACATATGCACGCATGCTTCCTCTACAGCCAGTGGTGCTTTAAAAAAAAAGTCCTCTTTTGCTCAGTTTTATCTTGTGTGTCATTCATTTTCTTTTGGGTATAGGTTGTAGCCATGTTGGTCTAAGGACATAGGTAGGCAAGGTTCCTTGGGTAAATCTGATATTTTTTTATTAGACCAACTCAGATAGTTGGAAAAATTATTCTTTGCAAGCTTTTGGCTGCAAACACCCTTAAAGATCATTAATGTTCTTTGATCTTTTATGAATGAAATGTCAGTCTGAATTTGTTGTGGGTGTAGACTGATCATAGAAATGTGACTGACTGGTGAAATGTTGGTATGTAGGTTTCTGTAGTATAGCGCGTGCATAAATTTTGGACAGGAAGACATGCTAGGATTTTGATGCACATATTCTGTATGTGTGTGTGATATAATGATGGTATAGAATATATAAAAACATTTAAGTATTCTTGGAGTCATATTTGCTTCATACAATGTCACAGAAATCTCATGCCTATTTGCCTATTTAATTTTATTCAGAGTAGTCCCAAGGATGAAAAGCCAGATGCAGTATAACCCCAACTGAATCCATCTCAAACAGAACCATAAAAATGTCCTAATTACCCCATTTTTAATACAACGCTGATGCACGTTAGCTTGCTGCCCCAAAGGGTTAGAAGCCAGTGCTGGGATTGGTCTGCAGGCTGGATCCAATGTGGGGTTAGTTCCCAGGTGTGACCCTATGTGTCTGAATCTGACCGCACACTAGTTCATCCCCATGTGCCTGGATCCAGCCATGTGCCAGAGCAGTCTAGCATGCGGGGCCATTATCTGGCCTGCAGAGCTTCCCATGGAGCTGGAAACTTGTCAGCAGGGAAGCAGCAATTAATGCTACTACTGATTTTTTCCAATGCCCAATTTCTGGAGATCCCCGTGGACCAAATGATATGGCTCTGCAGGCAGGATCTTGTCTGTGGGCTAGAGGCTGAGCACCACTGAGATTAAAAAAAAAAAATTGGGGCCATCAGAAAAATCTCTTTCATTCATAGAGAGAGAGAGAGAGATAATAAAAATGGTGGTGAATGGAGATGCTCAAAGATTTTGGATTAAATGTGAGAGATGGGATTATAAACCAAGTGTGCATGAAGCAGTCATACATGTGTAATAAATGGGAAATATACTGTATACGAAAGTGATCTGCTATGGAGGGGGGAAAAAAACAGATTCCTTGCTCACCTTCAGTTGTGTGGCATTTGAACCACACTATTACCAGCCTTTTTGGAGATGAAGGAAAAGAAGTTGGCACCACTAAGATATTGCCACTTTTTCAGTGGGACCACATACCGAGTTTCCAACAAGATGCTGGGATTAAAAGCCAGGGCAGTTTTGTATGAAGAAAATCTTAGGCTAGGTCTAATAATTTTTGTAGCTTTCTTTGAATCTTGTATACTTGGAGCCATAATAGCTAAACCAACAGGCTCTATAGAGAGAGATAATAGTCCCAATAAATATTTTTTTAATTATCTAAACTGTTCTTAAAATAAACATTTTTTTTTATTTGCAGTGTATGACACACTTCCATATCAGTTTGTGGCATAAAATAGAAGGACTTTGCATTAGCACCTGTAAGGCATGACGTGTATCAGGGTATTTCTACATAACTACTGTCATGCCTGTTTGCACTGCTGTGAAGCATGCTCTGCCCTTCTTCTCCCATTCCACATAGGCCAAATCCCAGAAATAGCAGTTCTGAGTTAGCACTAGTAAATAGTAAATATTCCCAAGTTAGGGAGCCTGAGAGTGGCACTGACAGCCTGTTAAGGTTTGCTGCAAGGCTGTTAGGTTTTTTTGGTTTTGGGAGTTGGTATGCAGAGAGGGATCAAGTGAGAGGGGTGTGCTTCATGGATCTGTACCTGGGCACAGCCTGGAGGAAATCTAGATATATCCTGACTTGCAGTGTCCTCCTACGTGTAGGTAAGATAGGAATGCTTCCAAGCATGCTAATAAAATCTCAAAGTCACGTCACTGTGGCCCTGCCTTTTGTCACACACACATTGTCTTCACATATGTTTGTGGGCATAAGTAAAATATATAGACTGTACTTGCATGCATGTGTGTATGTGCTGGCCTCCCTCCCTCTCTTCTCCCCCACCCCATGTGAAACCAAAATAATAATTCAAAAACAGGCTGTGATCATGATAGGATTACTGTTATGATGTCTTTAACATACATGATTTAGGCAGTTCTATCCAAGTTGGATCCTTTTACCCCATTGATTATATTCTGCCCTACTTTACCCTTTTTAGATGAAATGTCTCTACCTACAGCAGCCTTTCTTGGATGTTTCCTCAAGCTAATTTGAATGTTCATTTCTTCTTCTGAAAACAGACAGAACCTTTCCCTTCTCAGTTTCATTTATTTGCTAACAGCAAGGATTTCTTAGGGTGACATCTTTTATTGGACCAACTGCATGGGTGGGTTAAAGTTAGAAAAGCTTTCAAATGTAAAGCATTCTTTCTCAGGTCCCTTGCCTTTGAATGCCTTGTATTTAAAAGCATGTCTAATTTTATCCCAAGCGTGTAGTTGGTCCAATAGAAGATATCACCCCTAAAATCCTTGCCTCGTATAATTCCTGGATCGTTATGACTACAACACCACTCTAAATCTGCCATCTAATTGTTACTAATTTCTACCCTGTATTATACTTTCCAGTAAAATTAAACTGTGGAAATTGAGATTTGCATCTGCTGTATGACATTAGAAAACAAAAGGCCGAGTACACTGAAGGAAACACTGTAGCTTAACTGTGCATGGTAGACCATTGCCCTGCTGTTTCAGAAGTATTTACCAATGGCTTAAATATTGTATTGAACAAAATTTTTGGTTGTAAATTGCTTTCGTTGCGGAAATAACTCTTCAGTTGGTCCAAGAGCTTCTGAAGTAAAGTCTGTCTCAACTTAAACCTGTCTGCTTTGAAATCTGATCTAAGAGTCTCATCTGTGGAGGTTCTTAGTTGGTAGAGAAATTTATCTGATCTAAGAACCAGAGTAACACGAACTGTCAGTCTGGATTAGAGTAGAGAAGGTTGCTAGGTCTTTGCACTCTCTTTTCTAAATTGCTCTGTTTACTACATCGTTTAATCCTCTTCAACTTCTTTGTCTAGTTATCCTTTCTAGGTGCTGGAAGTACAGTGCTTCCAGTACAATTCATTGTCAAAATGAGGTTTTCTCTGATGGTTAAAGTTGGCAGAAAAAAAATACTAATCTAAAAAAAAAATCTAACAATGAAAGGTACAACAAAAAATAGATGCATTTGCCATGTAGACCTTTGCATGGCTGTTGTCAGCATATACAAATAAAGGACATGAGACTACTGTGTATCTTCATTTGCTTTATTTGCAACCTAGCCAACAATTAGAGCTACAGTGTAAATAATGGGCCTCATTCTGTAAACCCTTACTTATAATGAATGTAAGGACTGCGCAAGAGTAAGGACCTTATAAAATCATCCTCTGTTTTCAACTCGACTCTTTCGTTTCTATTTCTTTATGTGGGGAGAGGGATCCTGTTTGCCCCTTTCTTGACTTCTGACATTTGTGATGACTGTCTTGTTGGCTGTGGTGGGCTGGATGCAGCTGTTTTCCAGAAGTGATTGACACCACTGAATGAGATGCTCAGAGGTGGGAGGAAAGCATCCAAACCCCCAGCACCAAGTAAAATCCTAGGAACTGAGCATGCTGATCAGCCAGGGATCTCAGATTGAGCTTGATTCCTGGACTCTTATCCTGTGTTTTATAATGCATTAGGATCCACTTTGGGGGAGTTGTAAGGAGGGACTAAAGGTCTTCAAATTGGTATGTGTCTGTAATGAGTCCTGTAGTTTTTAATGCACAGCATGCAAAGATTTGCTGTTCTTAATTAGAGTGCAGCTGAATGCTTAGTGTAAGGCTGATTTTGATGTCCCTCATGCTAGAGGGACTCTACTGACTTTGCTAAAGTTAACCTGCCTTACACCAGAATGAGAAGAGAATTGGGCCCAGTGTAGTCTCTCCAAAGCTTACTTTATCTGTGTTGTCTGAGTCCTGTCTATTTGGTTCTTGGAGAGAATGAAGATTCGGAGTATAGGGGTGGGTTGAGAGGAGATGCTGAGACTGCCATTGAAGCTCAAACAAGAAAATTCACTCGGATTAAACTGTCAGTGAATATACAGAAAAAACACTTCCATATACTTTCTTGCATGTTAAAATGTGCATCTCAAGAGGGTCTCAGTTTAGCAAGGTGCTTTAGGCCAAAGCTAAATGTTTAGATTTGTGAATAGTTGCATTGAAGTCAGTGGCTGTGTCCAGATGTGCGTGGATGTTTGGTTCCCCAGAGACAACTAGCGGCGGCACAAGGTGTGCTGCCACTAGTTGTCCTCGGGGAGTGCCTGTGTCTTGCATGTACTGGTGCATGGCAAGTTACCCTAGGTGGGGTAAAGGAGGCTGGGGCCAGCACTGGGCTGGCTCCAGCAGCCTTACCTGGAGTCCTGGGGGCCTTCTGGGGCTGCAGCAGTGGTGATCCTGCTGCATGAAGCCTGTCTGGCAGAGGAGTGCAGCTCTGACCAGCCAGGCTCTGGCTTCAGGTGTCACACACTGCCACTGTGTACACAGCTCTGTGGGGTTTTTTGCCCCCTGGATATCCCTTGCAGCATGGAGAACAGAATGTGTGGTATGTAGCGCTGCAATACTTGGGTAAATTGTGGTGTTTAATTCATGTCCAGGGGAACATGCATCTAAAACAAGAATCAATATAACAGATGTTAACTAAAGATGTATTTACCAGTGATAATCAGCAATAGGCCTGGCATACCATTCACACTAAAGCCTGCTTGAACAAATGGGCATTGTACAGTGTCCTAATGGATAAGAAACTTGGGGTCTGGTCATGTTGTACAAGAGCAGATTAACTGAATGGTATGCCTTTCTCCTTGGGTATCATCAATAATGATGCTAATTAAGTGGTGGCATTAACGTCTGTTGCAAATGCACTACAATCAGATTTTTCCATTGAGGGCTTAATTTAAATCTGTGAGGATGAAGAAGTGTTGTTCTCCAGTTACTGTCCAGTTTGGCCAGCAGGCTGTTTTTGACCTGTGATGAAGCACAGTGTGGAAGAAAGCTTTTGTGTTTGCAGAGCTAACTATTACAGGGAAGAAACATACCCATTTAATTTGAAACTTGGTGTGTTTGTTCCAGTAGACATAGGACTCCTTGATACTGTTTCTGCTGAACTGCTTTTCAGAGAAGAAATACTCTCTGAAGACCAATGCCTTGTATTGTATTTGGAGGCTAATACAAATCATTTGGAATAATGATTTCCTGTGGCCAGAACTGTTAAGCGGTGGAATTGTCACATTTCGTATTATATGAAGCATCAGAGTGCTGCCCAAAGAGAACCCTATTTTGAGGGCCCTACATTCTCCAATTGGATCAGTCAGTCAGGAATAATTGTGGCAAATGTCTAAACCAAATGGTTACAATCTTCACATCAAAAACAAATGAATCTGAACCTGATTCACAACCACAGTCCATTGTAACACCACTGAAGTCCACATGGTCTCACTGATACAAATCTGGAGCAGTGCAGTAGCGAATCAGGTTCAGAGAATGAAATAGGATGTCTGGAGCACATTAGTCCCTTGACTAGTCTGACGGAGGAGATTTGCATATCAAATGAAAACTAGTGATTTTGCTATTAAAAATATGTCTGGGAAGGAAGCGTTAGACCTTAACCCCTTTCTTCTTGCATAGGTTTCTCAGTTGCGCCATGAGCTGTCCATGAAGGATGAGCTGCTCCAGTTCTATACTAGTGCTGCTGAAGAAAGCGAGCCGGAATCCATCTGCACTACACCGTGAGTTGTTATACCAGAATGGGAATGAGACTTTTGGGTGTGGGTCTGTACAGGGAGTCTCTGAATAATGTTGATACCCTTGTGGGGGATCAGAGAGGGTCAAATAGAATAGAACAGTAGGAGCCAACCTTTATGGCAGGCATGCCCTGTACCCTTCCTCAGTATCACTCTGATCCATTTCCCTTACCTGATGTACTGTTCAGCTTTTGGTCCCTGCACTGTGCTCCCCAACCAAGCTGCTGTTCTGCTTTCTTCTCCCTGCCCTGTCTGCCACTATGCTGGCTGTCACATCTCCAATCTGTTATGTGCCCCACACAGAGGTTGCCTGTGCCGATTGTAGCACCCATGCCACAGGTTGGCTACCTCTGGACTAGAACAAATGAAGTCAGGGATATAACTATAAATTCCCATCTTGCACTGCCTACTCGTATTGTTAAGGGTTTGTGTCAGAGCAGCTGCGCTGATTCCAGTGTAAGAAGGGAGAAGAAAGGAAGCCAAAGGCCAAGGATATACTGTTCCATAAGCTATTACAGTTGCATTGGCCTGGACTGGTCCACAGGGTCACAAGTCAGTTCTGTGTTCCACCCCTAACTTTCACATGGCAGAGCTGTGTGCAAGGGCAAATCTAGCTCAGTGTTGGGAGGATAACCTCCATATTCATGCTGTTATGTCTGAAAAAGGCTGGAGGAATAGCTAAAAATGCCATGCAGTGTTTGACAGAGAGAGGAGAGATGAAGCATGGTTCACAGTGTTTGCCAGGCAGTTAGCTGCTTCATTGCAGACTTTGAGGAGGTTATCTGCCCTTGTCCTCTTGCCTGCAAAGTTATTGCAGCATTTTGGTAGAGCATATGCTGCATTAATCATGAAAGTATTAGATTACTCCTTGTATAGCTGCATGTGGAAAAGATGGCTTTCTTTTTAATACCCAGGGCTGAATAGCTTTTCCATGGGAAGTGAGGAATAAGGCAAACTGTCACTTTTACTTTAAAAAGTTGATGAAAATGTATTGCCACAAATAATGTAGAGTGACAATTTTGAATTTTTCATAACTCTATCTGTTGAGACCTCTTTGCAGCTTGTCCCCTTTTTTCTCACCTTGTGTGATGCCAGTCAAGGTTTCAAACACATGTTGGCAGAAAACAATAGAACTTAAACGCTAATTAATGTTTTGGTTACCAGGCTGAAGAGGAACGAATCATCGTCCTCTGTCCAGAACTATTTTCACTTGGATTCTCTTCAAAAGAAACTCAAAGACCTTGAGGAGGAGAATGTTGTGCTTAGATCAGAGGTGAAACTTCTCCCTCATTTATTTTGTTGTACCTATGCTTTCCTCTTATTGTGAGAACAGATGTGCTGAAAACTTGATTTTAATAAATGCTATTAATGGACTCCTGTTAGGGGAGTTAGTACCCTATAATCCCGTAGGTGACATAGCACATCCTACTGCAGCGACATTAACTAACCAACATTGATCTTCTGATATTAAGAGTACAAGTGAAATCTACAAAACTGAAAATGAGCCTTTCTTCTGAGTTTCCTAATCAGACAATACAGTTCTATAAGCATGTTAGTATAAAGTTTTATACCATACAACAGTGGCTTTTAACTTGTGGTGCTCAGACTCTGAGTCCACAAAAGATTAATATATTCAATCAAAAGTATGTGAATACCCACACTTACAATTCAAAGAGGTCTGCAGGTCCATTTGAAAATTTTTAGGGGTCTGCAAATTTAAAAAAGTTGAAAACCACTGCTCTAAAATTTAACAGTTCTGTGCACACTGGTATCTGGAACATGGATGAACCATCTCTTTGGCTCTAAATCTGTAGACTGGCACAATGTTCTTAATATTCACCAATGGTTAAGAATGGACACTAATGACTTCTAAATATATTAGGAGGGAGCTAATCTAAATTACTGCAAATGGCCTTAATTAGGGTGTATTAGGTCATATTTTTCACCTTGTTTTAATATTAATGGATTTTGTTGTTTGAGTTTCATCTTTTTTGATGGTTCAAAAGAATTACAAGCAATTTGGGTTGATGGAGTTATATGTCTGTTAGTTAACATTTACAAATGAGTACAAATTTACTTTGAGAATTTGAGGATATGTTATTTGTGAACTTTAAGTGAATGGGGTAGAATAAACATTTTGATCTGGGAATGATGCGCACAGATCCACAGCTTCATTAGCTTTCCTACTACAGATGCAAGTCAGCTTGCAACAGGCCTGTTTAACAAGATATTTTTGATCAGAGTGCAGTATGCTTCACCTTCATTATAAAATACCTGAGGGATGATAAGCAATGTAAGTGCTTGTGATGCAGTATGTGGGGGGTTTTTTGAGGCTAACTTAAGTAGGCCTAGGAGTGAAAGCTGCTTCCTTTGAGGGTGTTATGAGAGAATGCTATATAGCATAGTCCAGGGTTTCCAGTGCTCCCAATGAAAATGCACGGTAACACACATGAGGTCATCTGTTTTAGAGATGTCGAACTATCGCTGGCTAGGTAATTAGTTTAAACCTTGTGTTCTCTGCATACTGTCAGGGTTATCTTTGTTCTGTGTACAGTGGTGACATCTTGTGGTAATGTGATAGTAGGTGCAAACTTCTGTGACTGCAGATGGCAGGCAAACAGGTTCCTTTCTCATTGTCTCTTGTGACTTGAAAAGGGATCTGCTATTATGGAGCAAATGGAAACACTCTAGTGGAGTAGAAGACAACCAGGATGCTAACACTGGTATGTTTTGCTGTGGATCTTTTGAACAGGCCTGTCAGCTGAAGACTGAAACAATTACTTATGAAGAGAAAGAACAGCAGCTTGTAAATGACTGTGTGAAAGAGCTGAGTATGTCTTGTCTTTTTTTTCCCTCCCCTCCCCCCTTCACATCTGACATTATTGTTTAACATTTAGATTGAGCTGTAAATAAATCCTGTGGTCTTTTATGTCCCTACTAGCTATTATCAGTTTAACCCGAGATGTTTAATCTCTAGGATTGCTAGTGGAAGTAGGTACAAGGTTAAAAATTGCTCAATTTTTTTTTTAACATTTACTCTATGTACTGTGTGAGAAAGCTAAAGTATTTTTACATTGAATATGGGAATACTGTGGATTAAGCCATAGGTTTTTAATTTCAAGGTATTTCAGTTTAAGTGCAGACTTTCAGAATAAACTGTAACATATTCACAATAGCTATATAAATTACCAAAGAAGCATAAGGACAACGTTTGAGAGGGGAAACTTTCATACCTTTTGTTAGGTACCAGTGCACACAAGAAAGCTGAGGCCTAAAGTAAATATGTAAAACTTTTTTTTGCACTTTTTCTTCTTAGTGAAGGAGTGTTTTCTTAACCTTGGCATTTCTTCTAAGCAGCCAGTGTAAAAGTATGAACTAAGCTGTATTGCGATTCTCTGGTGGTAGCCAAATACAGCTCTGTGTTTTACAATGCACCCAGTAATTATGTGAACAGAGATGGAACAAAAAATGCTTAGGATTTGTAGGATCTGATGTCCACTCATCTAGATAACAGCATCTGTATTTTATTTGGTTTCATTCAAAGTAAGTGCAACACTTTGGATGCTGATAGCTTGCCAGGAGCCTGTGCCCCTCAGTGTGCAGCTTGTATGTTCTTAGTTTAAAGGAGAATTAGGAACTGTGGCTTTCTAAACCAATGTTCTCAATTTGTTCACCACAAAATTTAAAGCAGTATTCACGTCATGAGGATGTCAAGTTCATAGATCGTTATTTTCTAATATTCTAGTGTGATATCTAGTTGTCCATCTACCTAGTAATGATAGACAGACAATTAGATCACATGGTCATAGTTTTTAGGAAACTAGGCATTCTAATTATTTGATGCCTAATATTTACTAAAACACAAAAAATAAAGTATTATGTTTTCTTTGATAGGAAAGATGGACTTAGTGAGCAACATATTTTAAATATCACTGGGTAATCTGATTACAATGAAATTAGAATAATAGCTTTCTATTTTCAGTATGGTGCAATGTGAAAACAATATGACATTGAATCTTACTAATGGACTTTAGTTACAGGTATTGGCTTTTAAATATGAACCCTTAATGGCTTCTTTTTTGCCTTAAATAAAAAGGTTTCACTGCAAATGGCAGCTTTGCCCATAATATAATGGAATACTTTGTTAGTGGATGTGAAGCTGGCCATGCAGTATTAATTCTTTCTCAAAAAGGCATTAGAGAGTATATTGCTGTGTTAGGGGGAAAAATTCTACACAGTCTTCTGTCATTAGCACATGCTAAAGTATGTTGGCGTGTAGTCATGATGGCTTCTGTCTCATTAAAGGGGATGCAAACATCCAGATTGCCTCTCTCTCCGAAGAGTTAGCAAAGAAAACTGAAGATGCTGCCCGGCAGCAGGAAGAGATCACCCATCTTCTCTCTCAGATAGTTGATCTTCAGAAAAAGGCAAAAGCTGTAAGGAATTCAAATGCCAAATTGTAATAAAGTTTTAATTCTCACCTCTAGTTGGATGAGTAAACGAGCCTGTGCCATACATATTCCTATAAGTTGTATAGAGCAGGCTCATTTAGCAACTAGAAAATTGTATAAATGGCTGGCAGGTGGTTAATCCCATGTTGTACTTTCATCACCCTTGGAACTGACAAAGTTTTGCCAATCTAACTGCTGCTATTAGGAGAAAAACCCTCTGAATTAAGCCTTAATGAGGTGCAGACAGCCCAGAGCAGGCTATTCCTGCACTAGCAGGCAGGTTTAAATTGATTTAAATGCTACCTTTCATATTGAAATCAATGAGCTTTAGCAAAGAATAAATCTACAGGCATGACTGAAATTGCTCCTGCCTTACCAGATAGTGGTTTCAGTGGCTTATAGTATATATTGCACCTCCTCAGGAAAATATGATTTCCATTCTCTTTGCAATAGCCACTTTTGATTTAACTCTCTTGCATGTTGTTTTAGGAATGATCATTTTCTTTACAAGCTGGCCTACCATTTTGATTTTTTGTTTTGTTATAGAAATGTATAAATATCTGATTTAATTCCCTATATTTTAACATGGAAAACTAAAAGAAAAAAAAAAAAAAGTTACTTTCATCTTTAGCAATTGGGGGTAATTTCTGGTCTTGTTGAAGTCAATGGCAAAACTTCCCTTAACCTCAGTAGGATGAAGCTGTTGCCAAAGATGCCTCAGATAAAGGATTCCCAGTGGTTCCAGGCCTGAGATTTTAGTTTTAGAGCACAGAAATGTTGTAATGCTGTATCTAATATTAAAATACTTTAATTACATACAGAATTAGATATATGTAAACATTGGTCTGCTGTTTGCATTGTCTATGACAAGATATTCCCTGTAATTGGTGTATTGCAGTGAGTTTACCATTTTTGGTCCATTTCAGTGTGCAGTTGAAAATGAAGAACTTGTCCAGCACCTGGGGGCAGCCAAAGATGCTCAGCGGCAACTCACAGCAGAAGTGAGTATCCTGGCTAGTACTGAAGTGCATCAGTAACATTATCTGTACTTTTCACCTCTACATCCCCTGTTTCTGGTCTAGCATAGATCTACAGTGAGAGTTGTTGCCATCTCCTTAACAATTCAAGGCCTGCATGAAATGAATTGCACTCAGCTTCACTGTAGGCAGATTGCTTCCCTCCTCCCTGCCACAAATGCATGTTTTGGGAAGTCAAGGTTTAAAATAGGCATGGAGGCTTAATTACCCTCCCCCTGTTTTTAGAGCTTGATTCCTACTGATCATAGTTTCTGCATACTGGTGGACTAAAGGACAACATGGGAAAGTTTTGCAGCTCTTCTAAAATAAAGGCTAGCCCAGGATTACCAAAGATCCGTGTGTGTGTGTGTGTGCATGCATGTGTGCGCTTTGTGTATGCTAACTGGTACTACTTAATATTAGGTGAGTAGAGGGTATTGAAGATATTTAGAGAAAACTGTCAGGTAAGTCAGGACACATTTGTATCTAAGTACTTGTAAGGATTGAAATGCCATTTATCTGGTCTCATTCTTTTTTTGCCATTGTTCAGTTTTCATAAAAATTAATCCTTATTCTCTGTTTAAATAGGGTTTTTCTCTTCCATCAGTATTTCAAATGCTTCTGAAACTTTTGGGGGCATTAGCTTGGCTCACAGTATGCTTTCTGTTCAAATGTTATAGTTGCGAGAGTTGGAAGACAAGTATGCAGAGTGCATGGAGATGCTTCATGAGGCGCAGGAAGAGCTGAAGAACCTTCGGAACAAGACTATGCCAAATGCCATATCACGTCGCTACCACTCCCTAGGCCTCTTTCCCATGGTGAGAACGTCTTAATAGAAGTGTTTGTATAGTGCCAAACAGGGAGGACAAGGGGTCTCGATCGATGACTGAAGCCTCAAGGCATTATTACGATAGTGGTAGTGAAAAACAAACTCCACTCTTGGCTACCCTGTCTATGAAAGTCTGCCCAAACCTGGTGTAACTACATTGTGTTTGTTTGTTTTTTTTTCAATGATTTTAAAATTAAATTAACTGAAGACACTCTACAGTTACCCAGATGTAACTGAACAACAAAATCCGTCCCTCTTTTTTGCTTTCTTTTGTTTTTTTCCATCTGGTACTTCATAGATTTCATAGACTTTAGGGGCTGGAAGGGACCTCATGAAATCGAGTCCAGCCCCCCTGCTATAGGTAGAAAATCTGCTGGGGTCAAACGATCCTAGGAAGATAAACATCCAAACGCCTTTTGAATGAGTCCAGAGTACGTGCTTGCACCACCTCTGGGTGGGGAGTCTGTTCCAGATCCTGGACACACAGACTGTAAAGAAGTTTTTTCTTATGTCCAGTCTGAATCAGCCTTCCAGGAGTTTGTAGATGTTAGACCTTGTTATCCCTTGGGAAGCCCTGGTGAACAATTGTTCTCCCAGGTCCTTATGCCATGCCCCTTATATACTTGTAGGCTGCCACCAAGTTCCCCTGAGCTTTTTCTTCTCCAGGCTGAAGAGTCTTGAGTCGATCAGCCTCTCTTCATAAGGCTTGCCCTATTGGCCTTTGATTTATATGGGTGGCTCTCCTCTGGACTCTCAAGCTTATCCACATTCCTACTGAAGTGGGGAGGGCCCGGAACTGGATGCAGTACTGCAGCTGCAGCCTCACTAAGGCCAAACAAAGCAGGAGGATGACCTCGCTGGTTTTGCTTGAGATGCATCAGTGGATGCACGCCAGAGCTTGGTTTGCTTTGCTGGCCACAGCATCGCATTGGTGGCTCATGTTCATCTTGTTGAGAGAACAGGTAAAAAATATGAATAGCACATATTTACCCCATGTTAAACTCCTGAAAAGTGAAAATCTGCAACGTCAATTATGAGTCAAGATCCAGATTTCCTAAAATTCTGGTAGCTGTTTGTAGTTGGTAGAAATGTACACAAAACTGGTAGCAGTTTGAAATGCATGCATTAGTGAAGAAAGCATTTTTATATTTTTATGTGAAATGTTTTTATTTATTTATTGCCCAGATCTATAGTCAGAGAAAAGAAAATCCTCTAGGCTTTTGGTATTTAATGGGCCTGTGGAATTGCTAGAACTTAAGGGCATTTGTAGATGACACATTAAAGCAGGTTCAGTGCCCTTTTGCACCGGTTTAATGGCGTTGCTGTTTGCACGAGTTTGCAAATTCAGCATCGTATTGTGTGTTAATTCTAGCTGCTGCAGCAAATTTGGTGGCATAATGCACCTTAAATGACTCTGGGGCACAGCAAAGGAGGTAGTTATGTCAAAAGACATGGTCATCATGGGTGACCTGAAGTTTCCAGACATCTGCTGGGAAGAGCAGTCAGCCAGGTCTGACTGCTCATGTAGGTTCCTAGCTTAAATGAAGGACCTCTGTCTAACCCAGGAGGTGAACAGCCCTACCAGGGGAGATGCCCTGTTGGACCTGGTGTTGGCCACGGGTGACGACCTGCTGAGGGGGCTGCGGGTGCTCGACCATCTGGGCAACAGCGATCGTTGCCTGCTGGAATTCACCATCCAGCACAAGGTGGCAAAGGCCTGCAGCAAGGCAGGAAACCTAGATTTCAGGAGGGCGGAATTCAGTGAGCTACGGAGAATAGTCAGGGAGGCACTGAGGTCCCGGAGAGGAGGGGAGTCAGGTGTCCAAGAAGAGTGGCCGCTCCTTTAGGAGACGATCCTCCAAGCCCAAAGGGAGGTAATCCTAACATGGATCAAAGGGGACAGGAGGGCTCAAAAGCCCCCATGGCTCACTAAAAGCATCCAGGAATGTCTCCTAGCTAAAAGGGAGGCATACACCCAATGGAAGGGAGGGGTCATCACCAGGGAGGACTATACTGCAGTTGCTCGGGGCTGCAGGGGGGCAGTCAGGAAGGCCAAGGCAGAGATGGAACTGGGACTAGCTACCCGGATCAAGGACAACAAGAAGTCCTTTTTTAAATACATTGGGGGCAGAAAGAAGGTACCAGGTAACGTGGGGCCCCTGCAAGACACGTTAGGAAATCTGGTCGTCACACCAGACGACAAAGCTAACCTATTTAACAACTTCTTTGCCTCCATTTTCCTGAGCAGTGACTGGATCAGCACCCCCACCAGGACCCCTCAGGCCCCAGGGGAGGCACACCTAGGCCAAGGGTCAAGGAGGATCTAGTCAGGGAACTTCCGGAGGGACTGGACGTATTTAAATTAGCTGGTCCAGACAATCTCCACCCCAGAGTGCTGAGGAATTAGCTGAGGTTATTGCAGGACCCCTGGCACAGGTTTATGAGCACTCGCGGTGCTCTGGTGTGGTGCCATAGCACTAGAAGAGGGCCAACATGGTTCCCATCTTGAAAAAAGGGACGAAGGAGGACTCAGGAAACTATAGGCCAGTTAGTCTTACCT